TATTATTTTTAAGATTGTGGTGATGATAAATAGTGATATTTTTTAATAATGATGATTTTTATAGAAACAAGGACGTTACAAGCCAAATTATTTAATGATCCTGATAGTGAATATGATGTTTTGATAGCAAGTGATGCTGTTGGAATGGGTTTGAACTTGTAAAAAAATTTTTTTATTTATTTATAAAAGTGATTTTTAATGATGTTTATCTCTAATTTAAGTTTAATTATTTCATTTGTTAAATCAATAGAAACATAAAAAGAATAGTGTTTGAGACAGTCAGAAAATTTAATGGTACAGATGTGCGTTTAGTATCACCACCCCAAATTAAACAAATTGCTGGAAGAGCTGGTAGATATGGTACAACAAATGCTGTTGGAGAAGTTACAGCGTATGTGAAATAATATATCATAATAGTTTTTAAATAATCTAATATTTTTTTAAAAATTGGTTTTCTTAATTACTAATTTATATATTGATTATCAAGATTGGATCCTCTTGATTTACAATATATTAAAAAAGCAATGGAAGTTCCCAGTGAAGATTTAAAGGAAAGATTTATTTCATTTTCTTCTTATAAATTATTTCATTTATTAACCTATTGAAAATATTAATATTTATTATTATTTCAAAAATAAAACTTTTTAGATGGCAGGATTACAACCAACTATGCAAATGGTTGAATTATTTGCACATCAATTACCTGATTTAAAGCAATTTTCCGCACTTTTGGTCTGTTGTAATAATCTATTAATTGGGTTAAAAAGTTTGTCTTTTACTAAAAAAAATTTTTTTTTCACAGGAAAAATTTGAATCATTGGCACGTGTTGGTGGACAATACTTTCTATGTAATTTTACAAATCAAAAAGTATTTACTTAATGATTTAATTTAACATTAAGTTTTTATTTTATAACTAATTAATTTAATGTATGTGTAGTTGATAGCAAATTCTATTGAACATATCCATTTGACCATACCAGAAAGATTTATATTTGTTACAGCACCTATAAATACAAATGATTTGTATCTTATGAAAAAAGTTCAAATGGTAAAATATGAACTTTGTACTTTTATTATTACTATTACTATTATTTGATAAATTTAAATTTTGTTATTCTATTGATTCTATAAATATTTGTCTTGAATAAGTTTGCTAGGTTACATGGTGAGGGAAAAGAAGTTTTATTAGAAGATTTTGTCAGAATTTCTGACAAGATTCCAAGCAATACAATTGAACTAA